CGAGTGAAGAGTCGAAGGCGTCACACTGATAATTAGTTTTTTCCTCCTCTTCTCCTTCCGCTCTCTTTACCGCGCTGGCCCCTGGCGCCCGACGGCCAGTCCCGAGCCAGGAACTGAGATGCACATTTTGTCGCTGGCCGGCGGCGCGAGGCGCTTCTCTGGCGAGCTTGGAGGGGTCTTGAGGGGAAACGTGCCTTCAACGGTTGTTGGATGCGATGGATGCACCGCGTCGGCGCTCGCACTGTCTGCCTCTGCGTCTGTGGCGCATGGCCGCAGCACCTGCAGCACCTCCAGCCCGCGTCCTCCCCTCTCCGAGCCGCAAGCTCCGCAGAAGTGTTTCTCGGTGTGGGGCGAGTCCGGGTCGTCTTGGTACGGTAGGTTCGCGTCGTGTCGACCAGCGGCGACCCCAGCGCGGGCGTTCAAGGTTGAACGCCGCCGGCGACCCAGAATCGATCGACGTTGAACGATCGGACGTTGCGGCAGCGGCCGATCGTTCAAGGTTGAACGATCCCTGCGGTGTCAAAAACCAACGCTGGGGTCGGCACGACACGAACCTGCCGTAAGAAGTGTGTTGCTGGCCCTCCGCGGTCCTCCTGGCCTGGTCAGAGTTGTGCTGCCGGGTCGCCGTCTTGCTCGGCCGGTGGCGCTCATGGTTCGTGCGGCTCTTGGGTCGCCAAGCGCGTTCCACGACTCGCAAAATGCCTACTCGCAAACCTCCGAAGATCACATGCCTCCATCGATGTAACGTATCGTGAATATCCCATCGCGGATCCAGGCCACTTGCGAGTAGTTACTTTGCGAGTAGTGGAACGCGCTTGTCTATTGGGGCGTTGTTGCATCTGTTCCGTTTCGCCGCCGCGCTTCTTGCCGCCTTGTTGTTTTTTGTTCGGACCGGTGATGCGTGGCCCGCACGCGCGCGCACCCTTTGAATCGGGAGGGGGAAAAACACACAGACACAATTAATCGTCGACTTCCAAGAAAATGGGAAGTGGGGGGGAGACGAAAACCCAGAAAAATATGTAAAAAAATTGGAATCCTGGGATTTGTGCATTTATCTGTGTGTCCCTGGGCCCCTTCATTAAAGGAATCAGACAGAGAACTGAAAGGAGGAACGAAGGAGCAGGACCATTAATCAGCGGACCAAGCTTGCGTTCAACAGCTATGTCGCCACCAGAGCCTACCGACCCCTCGTGCTGCTTCCTTCCTCCTTCCGGTTCCCTGCTTGATTTCTGTCGCGGCACCGTTGCGTAGTCGAGGTGGGGAGCGGTGCCCGTTCTTACTCGACACGCTGGTGTCTGTCTGCACGTCGTCGAGCGAGTATTTTTCGAACGCCAGACGAGACAACAGTTCGTGGGCATCCACCCACCTGCTGCCGTCCTGGGCCATTTGATTTTCCTTGAATATGTGCCGCAGCACCTTGCTGAGAAGCTCGCTCAACGTGACGTCGGCCTCATCGCCAACGCCGTAAGCAGCGCCTTAGAAGCACATTACTAGAAGTCTCCTTGATCGTAGCCGCAGAGCACCTTTTGGGCCGTCTTGGGGCCCGCTTGGGCCTTTTTCTTGAGCCCTCTTGGGGCTTTACTGGGACCTCAGGGAAGTCTGGGACTGGCTCAAGAGCAGTCCAGGAGGCTCCCCCAACAGTGGCATCCAGAGGGCCCTCTTGGATGCCACCGTCGGAGGGCCTTGTTTGGTCGTCGGTCGTCTCCAGCCGTCGCCGACGTCACACAGCCGTGCGCAGAGGGGGGCCAGGGGGAGGGGGGAAGGCTTCTCAGGAGCACCCCTGCCTCTCAGAAGGAGCGGGCCTCATCTACAGATGTGGGGCCGGCGCCTGCTAAGAAGCGGCCTTCGTCCAAGAATCAAGCAGTGGCGCAGCGTCCTGGCTCGCCTGTAGGCCTACCAACGAAGGTTCTAAGAACCTTTTGTGGTTTGCACGACATGTTCTTAGAACATTTCTGACTGGGAATGTCTTGTCGTAACACATCGGGCTTGTGTTCTGAGAACATGGCTCCTGTTCTCAGAAAATTTTTGGGTTCTTGGAACATGCCGTGGCAGGCCTATAGAAATGCCGGGACGGTCGGCCCCTGCTCAAAAGAAGCCGTCCCACCCCCCCCATCCCCTCCCCATGGGGCGCACCGCCAACGCACACCCGGCGACAGCAGAGTCGGCCGGCGCACCAGCACGCGGGGGCTCCAGCACCGGGGCCGCGAGGCACCCGGGCCGTGAGCCTCGCGCGCCTCGGGCGCCCGCGCGGGGGCTGGCTCGAGGCACCGCCGGCGCGCTCCCAAGGCGGGGCGCGGCTGCCAGAAGGAAGTCACGCGGCTCCATGTGGAGCCCGATGTGCTTCACGTCGACGTCGCCAGCGCATCGTCGGCGTCGACGATGCATCGCCAGTGCATCGCCGATGCATCGCCGATGCATCGCCGATGTATCGGCGATGCGGCACGATCCTCCGACCCCATCTGGGAGGCCCCTGGAGGCGCCAGGCCCAGAGCATCGCCTGGCCTCCAGGCACATGCAGTCCACCCGCATAGTGAGGATGGGCAGCCTTCCCAAGGCTACCCCTGCGTCCTTACCCCTTCGGCCCATCCTCAGCGACTCTCGCTGGCCAGCCTCGTTCGGAAAACAATCGCGTGGGCCTCCGAGGCCCTTGCATTATGCCGCCGCGCCGTTTGTTCCGACGCGCGGCCTTCTGTCTCTGAGAGGGCGTCTCGGCCACCAGGGCGAACTCCGCCTCGGACGCGAGGTTTGCCGTGGGGGGGTGCCGCGTTGCCGACTTCGTCTACTTGGGCGCGCTCGAGACAACCGGCTCGGCGACATGTGAGGATCTCCGACGCCCAGGCCACCTGTCAGGCAAGCCGTCTGAGACATCCCCACAATATGGGCGCGAACAATCCAGGCGCGGTGAGCATGGGGCTCTGAAAAGAGAGGAGTCTGGGCCGCCAAGCAGGCAAACCGCCCGAGACATTCCCACGATCTGAGCGCACACGGGCAAATGTCCTATCCACCGGCGGCCCCTCCTTGGCGCGCTCAGATGCCACGCTTCGACTCCCCCCCTGGAGTGTTCAAATGCTACGCCTGCCACGCCTGCTAGAGCGATGTTTGTGTGTGTATGAGTGGATCTGGGCATGTGCGAGTCTGAGCATGGGTGATGATTGGGTCTGAGTGAGAGCAAGTCCGAGTATCATTGGATCTGAGTGCGAGTGGGTCTGAGTACGAGTGGGTCTGAGTGTCGGTGAGTCTGAGCGTGATTGGGGGGGGACTGGGGCGGGAAGGAGGCGGAGGCTGACACGAATGACCAGAACCCCTACGAAAGCTCCCGTCGTGATTTGTGTCACGACGCGAGGGGGTCTGTGCACAGGGCTCTGGCCGTGAACTGCTGGGATGCTGCGATCTCCTCGCGCCCGCCGCCGGATCCACAGGACAGGCGCAGCTCGTCTGCTGATCCAGCTGCGCGCACAGGCGCAGTCGGGCCGAGCCGTCCCCCAGAGGTCGTGGCCTTCAACCCGATGACCTGCCGCTACCTCGTCCAGGCCGCCAGGAATAGGACGACCAGAAAAACGAGGAGGAGGAAGAAGAGCACGAGGGGAAGGAGGAGGAGGAGGAGGAGGAGGAGGAGGAGGAGGAGGAGGAGGATCGCGAGGAGGAGGAGGATCGCGAGGACGAGGAGGAGGAGGAGGGAGGGAGGCGCCCCATGCGGGCGGAAAACTGACTCGGGCGAGCTAGCCGAAGCCGAAGCCGCAGTCGAGGTGCGCGGAAGAATGGAAGGGACCGCCTTTGCCAGTTTGGTTAACAGACGTCGTTGAGGAGGAGGAGGAGGAGGAGGAGGAGGAGGAGGAAGGAGGAGGAGGAGGAGGAGGGAGGAAGGAGGAAAGAGGAAAGAGGAGGAGCAGGCGGAGGAGGAGGCCGACCTCGTGGCAAACCACGGGGAGCGAATAAGCCATGCCTTCGGAGATCTGGGCCGTCTTCGTGCCGTGCGCGCCCCGCCCAGCGCCGCGGCGGGGAGGGGTCCGGAGTGGTTCGCTGCCAGGTCGCTCAAGGTTGGCTGCCAGGAGTGGTTCGAGGCGGTGGAGGCCTACCTGATCGACCTCCACGAGATCGTGCCGCCCAGCCGCTGGAAAGGGCGCGCAGGCGGGCTGCGCACGCAGAGGGTCAAGATGGAGGTGGCCTGGAAGCAGGACCTCAAGAGGAGTGTCGGCGCTGCTTGCAAGCGCTGGATGTCGTTCGCGGCGGCGTGCTCCCGCTGGCGCGCGCTGCAGGAGGCGGCGCCAGGAGGTCGCTGCACGGCGCCGCTGCGCAAGCAGCGCCAGGTGCTGCAGGCGTTCGAGCTCGAGTGGCCAGAGGAAGGCCCGCTCGCAGGGCTGTCGGTCGCCCGCGTGGTGGGCCTGCTCAGCTCCTCATCGTGCAAGCTGACGGTGCAGTTCGTCCAGGAGGAGGCGAGGCGGCGCTGGATGCAGGACAAGCAGCAGAGGGCGCCTGGGCCCAGGCTGCGGCCACCGAGAGGGGCGGCTCGGCGGCCTACTGCTTCATCAAGCAGGTCACGGTGCTGCCCACGGTGGTGCACGCGGGCGCAGACGGTGACGGCGGCCCGCGCATGCCTGTAGCGGGCGAGGCCGCAGTGGCTGCGCTGCTGAAGGCGTGGCAGCCTCTCTGGATCAAGCCGTCGCGCGCTGGCGAGGTGGCGCCCGAGGACTGGGACATCCAGGAGTCGGTGCTGCCGCCGCTGGAGCTCGAGGACCTGGAGCGGGTCCTGGGCACCTACCGCGAGGGGTGCGGCCTTGGGTGGGATAGGCTCCACCCGAAGCAGCTGCTGCGCCTCCCGCGGCCCTACAGGCAGCGCTTCCTGGAGCTCCTCATGGCCTGGGAGCGGGGGCCCACGCGGGAGGCGCTGTGGCAGCTGATCGTGGTGTTCATCCCGAAGGCTACTGGAGGCCAGCGGCCGATCGGCCTCACGGCCATCTGGTTGAGGGTCTGGAGCAGGATGCGGCAGCCGCTGGTGGCCCGCTAGGAGGCCTCGTTGCAGAACCCTGCCTTCTGGGGCACGTCGGAGTGCCCGTGCGAGCGCGCGGGGGTGGTGCACAACCTCCTGGCGGCCTTTGCTCGCAGCAGGGGCCTCTCGGCGGCCACAGGAGTCACCGACCTGGCGAAGTTCTACGAGCACGTCAGCCATGAGGAGCTGCGCGTGCAGGCGGTCGCCGCGGGCTTCCCGCTCGCGCTGCTGCGGTGCTACTGCGTGTCGTACTGCACGCAGCGTCGCGTGTCGCGGTGCGGCTCGGTCTCCAAGCCGTTCGAGGCGAACGGCGCCATTGTGGCGGGATGCAGCGGGGCGGTCGGGCTGGCCAAGCTGCTGGTGCACGCCCTCTTCGTGAAGATTGCGCGCGAGAACCCTGTGGTTCGCCTGCAGAACGTCGTTGACGACGCGTTGCTGCAGGCGGTCGGCGGCGAGGCTCAGGCGGTGCAGCAGCTACCCAGGGCCATGGCTGCCCTCATAGAGGGCCTGGTCGCCAAGGGGCTGGTCATCTCGGAGGCGAACACGGGCTACCTGGTGAACAGCGAGGACCTGGGCGACGCGCTGGACGGCTGCTGGGCGCATGGGCCGCTGGCCCGCTGGACAGGCGCCCGCTGCCTTGGCGGCGACGCCACCGACGGGCGCTGGAGGCGCGCGGGCGAGCAGGACGCGCGGCTCGGCCGCGCGGCGGCGGTCAGTGCGCGGGCGCGCCTGCTGCGCAGTGCCGGTGCGCAGGTGGGCCACATCCAGAGGGGGGGCCCGCAGCCACCGCCGTCTGGGGCTCCGCGGTGACGGGCCTCGCCCGCGGGAAGCTGCACGGCCTGCGGGTCGCCGCCATGCGCGCGGAGGGCAGGCTGCCCATGGGCGCCAGCGTTGGCCTGCGGCTGCGGGCGCAGCACGGCGCCGCCTACCGCGACCCCTTCGTGGTGCACGCGGTGGAGGTGGCGCGCCCCTGGGGCATGACGCTGGAGACGGGCCTGCCCAGCGCCGCGGTGGTGCAGGAGTGCTGGCTCGGGGCGCAAGGCCTGCTGGACCTTCGCCGCCCCTGGGGGCAGTGCCGCGACCCTGCACAGGCGCGTGTGCTGGCGCTGAGGCGGGTCGGGTGCGAGATGGCGGCCTACAATGCCGCCGTCGATCGTCAGGCGCGGGTCTTCTCGTTGGAGTTCTACTCACCAGGCATGCTGGTGCAGGTGGTGCGCACGTCGGCGCTGCTGGCCTCGGATGTGCTCGCGCTGCAGCGGCTGCGCGGGCCTGGCGCCTGGGCATGGCCTGTGAACTGGAAGGGGCTGAAGCGCCTCCTTCACGCGAGCCGCCGCCCCGAGGAGCAGGCCTCCGCCGAGGCCGCCCATGGCGCAGGCTGCCAGGGGCCCGCGCCGCCGCCGCCGCTTTGGCAGGCCCGCCACAGGCGCGCGCTCGTGGCGGTCCTCGGCGGCCCCCACTGGCCGCAGGAGCGCCTCTGGAAGGAGGGCAAGGCGCGCGACGGCCTCTGCCGCCTTTGTGGAGGTCGTGGCACGCTGTGGCACAGGGCCTTCGAGTGCGACGCCTGGCAGCCGCTGCGGCGGGACGCGTGCTCGCCTGAGCTGCTGGAGGGGGCACGGCTGGTGGCGCAGCGTGGGGGCGCCGCGGCGGAGCTCTTCGCGCGTGCGCTCTGCCCCGACCCTGCCTTAGCCTTCCCCGCGGCGGCAGACGCTGCGCTCGCGGCCCCGCGCTGGTTCGGCGCGCCGCCTGGCTCGAAGTTCGCGGGCAGGGTATACGTGGACGGCAGCGCCAGGTTCCCTGCGCTGCGAGGGGCCCGCCGCGCTGGCTGGGCGGTGGTGCAGATCGGTTTCAGCGGGGAGGTCATCGGCGGGATGCACGGCATCGTCCCTCGGATGTACGGACCCGAGCAGGAGGCCAGGGACGGCGAGGACTACGCGTTCCACATGCTGGCCCAGTTCTGGCAGCCGTCGGACGACGGCTCGGGCCTCGAGGTCCTCTGCGACTGCGCGGGCACGGTCGGCCTGGCGCTCTCGCGGGGCAAGGCCCTCGCGCCGCTGCAGGCGCGCCGCCACCTGTGACAGGAGTGGTGGGCAGGGCCTGGCCCGTCGGCCACAGTGCGCAAGGTCAAGGCGCACAGGGCGCTCGCCGCGGCGTCCTCCTGGGAGGAGGAGCTCATGATCAAAGGCAACAGGGCAGCTGACATGTGGGCCAAGAGAGGCGCCGCCCTGTGGCCGATCGACGAGGAGCTGGTCTGGTTCCTCCAGGCGCGCGCCTGGCGTGTGGAGGAGCTAGGGCGCTGGGTCGGCGAGCTGGCCGCCACCATGGTGGACCACGAGAAGCTGGATTCCGACGGGGTGGTGGGCACGGCCGACCTCGTCTACGACATCCCGCAGGCGGCGCTGGACGCGGCGGAGCTGGCCGACGCGGAGGTGGCTGCGTCGGCGCTCGAGGCCGAGCTCGAGCACGGCCAGGCGCCTGCTGCTGCTGCTGGGGCCGCCGCGGGCGCGGAGCTCGGCCAGCCGCCCGCCGCCGCCGCAGGGGCCGCCGCCGTCGAGCTCGTGGATGCAGCTGCGGCTGCCCCCGAGCTGCAGGCAGCTGTGGCTGGAGCAGGCGCGGCGCGGGAGGTGCGCGGGCACTGCATCGTCGTCTCGCGCCTCGAGAACGGCGACGGGGCCATGGCCTGGTGCCCGAAGTGCGGCTGCCGCTTCTGGAAGAGGTCCCCTCCTGCAGGGACTGGCCTGCTGGGCAGCTGCAAGGGGCGGCCTGCCCCTGGCGAGCGGGCGGCGGATGCGAGGCGGCCCCTGATGCGCCTGCAGGAGCCGAAGAGCAAGGCTCGGCTCCTGGCCCCGCAGGCGCCCACGGAGGAGGAGCAGGCGCGGCTCGCGGCGGTGCTCCACGGCGGCGCTGGCGCGGCGGGCGGCGCTGGGGCCCGCGCTGGGGCTGGGCGGCCGCCGCGCTGGGGGCTGCGGCCCGCCGTGGCGGACGCCTGGCAGGCGGCCGCGCTCCACGGCTTCGCCTCGCCCGCCGCCGCGGCACGCTGGGCGCGGGCGCGCGCGGCGGCAGGCTGGGAGTCGCCCTTCGGCGACGGCGGCGCGGCGTGACCGCCGCTTCGACGGCGCCTGGTTTTGTCCGCGGGCAGGGCGCCAGGGGGCCGAACAGAAAAATGACCCCAAAAAATGGCCTCCTCCTCCTCCTCCCTCCTCTTCCTCCTCCTCCTCCTCCTCCTCCTCCTCCTCCTCCTCCTCCTCCTCCTCCTGAGCCCGTCAGGGCTCCAGGGCCATCAAGAAGGTTGTTGGAGCAGGAAGCTGCCCCCGGGGGGCAACCCCCAGGGGCCCCCTCTCCCTCGTGCCCAGAGCGTGCCGCCTCGCCAGCGGCCGCCTGCGGGGCGCGCGCCACATGCCGCGCACGCCGGCCGCACTCCCAGCCGCTGGGCGTGCGGCCAGGCAGGGGCCCTGCTGCTGGTGCCTGGCACCGCGCCAGCTCGGATTGCCGCGGCACCTCGACCTCACGTGAGAGTGACCCTTCGCTGGAATGACATTTGGTGCGGGCCTACTGGGTCCCCCTATCGCCGAACGCGATGCGATAGTAGCGTCTTGCGCGCTTGTGTTTGGTACCCCCGCGGTCCCCAGAAAGCCGCGCACCAAAGGTCACTCTTACCCAGGGTCACTCTTGCGTGTAGCCGCAGCACCAACCGCAGGTCGGGCCACCGCCGAGCGGTCGGTAAGCATGCTGTTTAAGTGGCAGCGCCAGCGGGCGCAGGCGCGCAAGGTCGAGTCCGCCGGGCGAGCTGAAGAGCAGAGAGCGGCCGCGGAGGAGGAAGGAGGAGGAGGCCCGACCGTCGAGAGTCGACAGGCGAGGGGCGCGCAGGCGGCCTCGGGCGAGCAGCGGAAAGCCACGCCGTCGAGCGGTCGGCGAGCGCACGTGCGGCGAGCTTCGCCTCAGGGGCGAGCTGCGGGGCGCGCCCTGCACGTTGGCTCTGCGCGAAGCGAGGCTCTCTCTCGCCGTGGGCTTGGCCAGTGCCACGAGCCGCTCTCGTTGCGCAGCGCTCCTGTGCGCCATCGCCGTGGTGGCGTCTGGAGGCCCAGCGGGCCGAAGCGGAGTTCCGTCGCCACGCGCTCGCGCAGTCGGCCGCGCCGAGCTCGTGCGCAGCGCCCCTGCTTGTGAGGGCGCGGTCGGCCGCTGGCTGCCAGTCGGTGTGCAGGCGGAGAGGCGATGCCGCACGTTCGGGCGTCTTGGCCACCGCGTGCAGGTTCGCCGTGCCCACACATCGCCGTGACGACAGCCTCGCCGTGACGACGGCTTCGGCGCACGCACGCTGCGCACGCCCCGAAGCCTCGGGCCTCCGCGCCCCACGAAACAGGGCGACACGCTATCGGCCTGCATGGCACGGCAAATCGCAGGGGCCTCGCCCGCGGCACGCCGAGCAAAAGGAGCCCGCCACCGCACCAGCGACGGGCACAAACACTTCCGCGCCGCAGCAGGCTCGTGAGACTCCGACCGCGGTCCGCGCGTCACGCTGCACACCGCCAGCGGCCGCCCCGCCAACGACGGGTGGCGCCTCGACCCCTCCCTCTCGCGGCCGGGTGCTGCACCTGCCTGGCCAGGCGCGGTTCGGCCAGCGGGCGGCGGCCCGTCGGCGCTGCCCCGCGGCGCGGGCAGGGAGTCCAGTCGCGCGTTTCTCGATTTCGGCTCCCGGGGCCGTTTTTCGGGACCCATGCCGATCCGATGGATCCGGTCCGACTCCGATCAAGTCGAACCGGCAACCCTTCCGATCCGACTGAGCTTTCCTATCCGCCTTTTTCACAAAAAAAAAAAAAAAAAAAAAAAACGCTTTGATGGTCCCAGGGTTATGATGTTCCAACCTACTTTAGCCTTGACCACCGGAAAGAATTGCGAGTACCAAGAAAGCATCAAACTTTGAGGGTTTTCACGTGTCGGGCCCTGGGAGGCGACACTCGTTCGACACTGTTTCGACACTTTTCTGGGTGCTCGAAACTATTTCTGGGATGTGGTCCTCAAGTACGACGGGAGCAACAGAACCCCAGGGGCCCCAAAAAGTTTGTTCGGACCCTGGGGCCATCAGAAGCGGTGTTTTCTCGCCTTTTCGATTTCGGCCCCCCCCCGGGCCGGTGGCCGGGCCCTGGGGCCGTCAAAAGCGGGCCAAGGGTCGCGAGGAATTGGCCTCGGGGAAGGGGGTCGGGACCTCCAGGGGCCGCGGACTGACGGAAGCTCATGGTCGGATGTCTGGGGAGAGCGCGCGGCTCTAGGACGAGGAGCAGAGGGTGAGGGAGGGGTACACGCCAGTCATTGAAAGTAGGTATTCTTGGATTCCCAGATCCCAATCTAGTTCAGGCGCCTTCCTACTTCAACAGTCGAGTGGTTTCCCCTCTTCCCTCCACTTTAGAGGGGCGGGTGGAAGCCCAATCTACTTCCAACGCCTTCCTACTTCATGCTTCTACCCACTTCTTCCGACCGACGGGTAAGGGGAGCCCCAGACCGACAGGCGCCACGAGCAAGAAGTCAAGGTTGGCCTTTTGCCTCACAGCTCGGGCCTCCGGCGAGTTCTGGGCCTCCCAGATGAGGTCCGAGTAGATGGTGTCGAAGGATCGCCGGCGATGCGGCTCGATGTGGAGCCCGATTTTCTCCACGCCGATGGCGCCAATGTAACACCGGCGTCGCCGATGCATCGATATCGCCGATGCATCGCCGGCGCATCGGCGATGCGGTGCAATCTTCCGACCCCATCTGCTCGGACCCCACCTCGGAGGGGTGCCATCGGGCTCCGGGGCGCTCTTCTGACGGCTGCGAAAGACAGAGGCTGTGCTGTCCTGGGGTTAGGTCGGGCATGTCCCCCATACAGGCGGATTTTGGAGGACAGAAATTTAAATCATGTTCAAATATGCCCACAACATGCTCAAGAATTCTCCAAAAATCGTCCCCAGACGATTGTTTGACTTTTTTTGAATACTCCTCCTGTAGAGGGACGTGCCCGACTTCATCCTGGGGGTGTCACCGAGCGCGTTCCACTACTCGCAGAGTGCCTACTTCGCAAACGTCCGGAAAAGCACGTGTCTGCCTTGATGTAATTTGTCGTAGGCCCCCCGCGGGGGATCCGGGCCGCTTGCGAGTAGTTATACCTTGCGAGGAGCGCAACGCTCTCGTCTCGGGTGTCTAGCCCGCGCCGTGGGGAGGCCCCACAGTCTCGACGGCACACGGGGAGTGGGCAGAGTAGGCGCCCAGGCCTCCGGCGGTCCAGCTTCCCCGCCGGGTGCGCGGAGCGCTCGCGGGCTGGCGACCCCGACACGCGTGCGGGTTCCCATCCGCGGGCTCTCGGCCTCGCGAGACCGAGCCCCCGTCCCCATCCCGAGCCCCTTCGAGGCCCCACCGAAGTTTCCGCCCCAGTCCCCTTCGTGGGCTTCCCCCCGGTGCGCGGAGAGCTCGCGAGCTGATGGCCCCCAACGCTCGTTCGGGTTCCGATCCGCGGGCTCTCTCTCTCTCTCTCTCTCTCTTTCGTATCGTTAAACCGAGCTTCCATCCCCATCCTCGTCCCCTTCGAGTCGGAGGTTGATAGACCTCCTACCCTGACACGTCGATCAGCAAATTGGCCGTTCTCGGTCCGCGAGAGGGCGTCGCGGCCGTCATGTTTGCGGGTCCGACTCAGTCGGTTTCGGTCCTCGGCCGTTTCCCCTAGAGGGTAGTTTACTAAAGGGAGGTTTGTCCACCGCCGATCGAGGCCCCCACCCAATTACCACCCCAGTTGGGGATACACCCTTCGAAGCCCGAAGGGAACGGCCTATGTCCCCATCCGGGGGGCTAAATCGGCCAGTGGGGCCCAGGCCACGCCGCTGGGGATGGGGATCGGTTAAACAATGCTCATCTCTCTCTCTCTCTCTCTCTCTCTCTTGGATCGGGGAGATGCAAGACTCGAGTGTGCCTGAACTCGAGCTTGCCGACGCTTCTTGACGAGCGCATCCTGGATTTGGACGGCTCGGTGTTCGTTGGATTATCTGCAGCGGGGGCTCGCGTCAAGTTTCAGATTGGGTCTCGTCATTGTTATGATGGCCCCGTCAGGCCAACCCGAGTGCCCCGAACCCGAGTCTTACATCTCTTCGACTGTTGACCCCGAAACCCGAGACGTGCCTCTGGGGGCCCAGGCTCAATACAGTTGGCCGTCCAGCCTTTCGGCCACTGCACGATTATGGCGTCCTGGAGAGAGCAGCAGATGCTGAGAGACAGCCCGTGGGTCCAAAAAGTGGTTCGAACAGTCAGGAAAGAATGCGGGCAAACGTCCCGAATGCCCCGGGCGCCTGCGAGAGCCCCCGAAGCCTTGCAGGAGCGGGGCTGGCGAAGCTGCGGGCTGCGCGAGGGCAGCCCCAGGAGGCGGCCCAGGCTGGCCTCCACGGGCCCCCCCCGTGCCCACGGCGGTCTCGGCCCCCCGCCCCTGGGCGAAGCGCCTCGGGGCTGCTGCCCGAGGTGGAGCGTGGGTGCCCAGACCGCCCCCCGGTTTCCCCCCGTGGAGGCTGGGCCAGGCCCACGTCTGGGGCTCGTCTGCGCGCAACGTGTCGAGGCCCCCGCTCCCCCTTGCGGAGCCTTCGCTGCGCCCCACTCCACACACACACACACACACACACACGCACGCACGCACGCACGCACGCACGCACGCACGCACGCACGCACACACACACACACACACACACACACACACACACACACGCACACACACATACACACACACACACACACACACACACACACCACGCCACCCCTCCCGACGGCCCGTTCTGCCCCACCCCTGTGCGCGATCCCTCCCCCTGCAACGCTCCGTGAACAGCTTGGGGTATCCTGGGCGCCCCCCATGGATGCCTGTGGGGGCCTCTGGGGGACTTGGTTGGGCCATGAAGCCCCTTCTGGGATATGCCAGGGCGAACAATCGCAGGGGGGAGCCCGCCTCTGGGGGCAGCCTGTCTGGGCGCCTCTGCGATGGCAGCTCCCCACAGGGCGGCCAAGCGGGTCCTCCTATCGCATGCGCCTGCTCTGAGACGTGTTTTGTTTCCGTGTTCGATGTTTCGCTCCTGGCCCGACCAAAGCGTTGTAAGAAAAACGGCACTTTGGATTGCGGATGTCAGGCAGGCGGCATGGTGATACTTACAAACGTATGAAACACGTACTGGGAGCGGAAAGAGAGAGAGAGAGAGAGAGAGAGAGCAGGCGGGCCACGGGCCGAAGCACGGCCCCCAAGACGGAAAGAACGACGTCGACTTTGCAAACGAGAAAACACCACGCCCCCTGCGTTTTCTAGATCATCTGAGCACCTGCTGTAGGGCGCGCGTCAGCCCCGACAGAGGTCGAGGGGGAGTCCACCACCCGCGACTTCCATGGCGCGAGCCTGAGGCCTCTGCCGGGCGCCGCGCCCTTCACGCCGCTGGGGTAGATCTGGACCTCAGGATCTGCCGCTAGGGGGCGCGCCCCCCGGGCACGGCCGCCGACTTGGCCCAACCTGGCGGGAGGGGTGCCCAGTGACGGTGAAGTTCGAGCATCACATGAGCGACAAAAAAACGGCTTCGATTGCGCCGACATTGGCGCGCAAGCTGCTCGCGTGAGGTCGCGCGTGAGCGCCCTCGTTTCCAACGTAGCGTGCCGCGCCGGCGGCCCGCGTGAGCCACCGCGTAAGGTCGCTACGTAATTTCGCGTACGACCCGTTTTTGATCGTCGCCCATGTGGAGATCGGTATGGATTCCGTCTCTGGCAAGATAGCTGCATACACGGTTCAGCACAGGCGGGAGAGACGGGTTTGCAGCGACGCTCTTTTACCTCCGCAGCCATTTGCCTCAGAGGTCCCAAATAGGGCCGCGCTAGCAGCACACTGAGCACTGTACACCAGCGCTGAGTATAGTAAAAAAGTCATTCCCAGATAGCTCCCTGAGAGCTAAGAGGGTTTCAGATTAAGAAGCCGGAGCCGAAGGGTAGCCCCGGAGCTCGCTCCGGCTTCCCACAGGAATCCCCGCTGCGCCTCCTGTGAGCTATTAATATGTCCCGAGAAGCCTTTTCTAAGCGTTTCCCAGTGCGCATGCCCGGCCGCTCTCCAGAAGCTCCTTCGGAAGCTCCTTCCAGGGGCTTCCAAAACTCCTTCGGGAGGCCTTTGCGCGCCCGTCTGGCGCTCCGCTATCTGGGCTTGGGATCCCACAAGTGCAGAGGGCCTGCATCAGCATGGAAAGGAGGGGTCCTGACAGCAACGGGTCCACGAGCCCCGGGGGGCTTGTCGCCGTCTTCTGGCGCCCGTGGGCCCTCCCTGGGCCCAGGGGCCGCCAGACAACGGCCCGGGACGAAGAAGCCAGACCTCCCAGGAGGGCTGAAAAATAGCACCAGGACGGCGACGTCCAAACTCCCGTCGAGGTTTGAGGCGGTCCAGACAGGCCTACAGCTCTGGAACGCTGTTGTTTAGCACTCTGGAAGGTCAGGGAACCTGCCCCGGGCCCCGGGAGAAGGTCTGGGGGCCAGGACCCGTTTCCACCAGGATCCTTGCCTCAGCACGCCAACCCGCCAGACCGCCGACGGCTCGAAAAAGCCGCGCCGGAGGCGGCTCGCCACCTTCCAGAAGGGAAGATCGTCACGAGCGCACACAAAACGTCGACCTCCGTGGAAACGTGGGGAGGTGCGGGAACCGGAGGGGAAGAGGAGAATCCAGGAGATCTGGCAGTAGAGCAAAAATCCCCGAATTTGCACCGATTCGATTGTGCCTCCCTTAGCCCCTTTGAAGACCCGGGATGGGAAATTGGCCTCGCTGAGGGGGTTTGGAGGTCTAGGACAGGGGTCCAGACATCCGACGTCGTAGGGTCTTCAATGCCTGCAGATTTCCCAACCTTCGGTGTCCAGTAGATGTGTTGGCGTGTCCAGTAGATGTGTTGGCGGAGCCAGGAAAATCGAGAAAACGATCCGCGAGGCAAAGCATCGGACGGGCCTAGAATCGAGATAGATCCGTTCCGGAACGCTCTGAAACGGTCGCGGCGCCCGATGCATCCTCCAAGCCCGCCGATTCTCAGAGATTTCCGATATCGGTCCGAATGTGTCTCGATGTTGCTTCCGTCGTGTGCCCAACTTTCGGTGTCCGGGAGATGTGATGGGGGAACCAGGACAATCGAGAGAACGATCCGTGAGGCAAAGCAGGTACCTGGGAGCGGGTCGTAATCAAAGCCACGCGATTTCGAGTGTCTGCGGCGGAGGTACACGTGGGGGCCCATGCCAAGAAACACCCTGCTCGCCTCCAGGGTGCCCTGGGTTTCTTGGGTTTCGATGGTTTTGCTGTGGAGATCGTGACGTTCCCACACCAAAAATCAATGGACATCGTAGGGTCTTAGGGTTGGGTTCCTTGTGGAAGGTTTCTTGTGGACTGGCCTCCACTGTAGGGATATTCTACCGGTTTCCGGTTCTATCTGTACCTCCACGGGCGCCCTCGCCGCCACGACTTGATGCGCCTTGCAGTGCTGGTCGCAGCGCACTCTGGGGCAGGTCCGGAGGCCGGTTTGGAGGGAGAACCGAATGCGGCCCCCGACGTTGTGAGTCTCTCATAGCGTGGCCCCCCAGAGGTCTCGACGCTGGACCCCTTCCCAGGGACGGCCGAGTCCCTGTTTGAGGGTCCCAAGGCCCAGCAAGGATTCCCGGAAGCCGAAAAATGAGGAAAAGTTGTCCGTCGCTATGTGTGCACGGTGCGAGGGGGGGATGAACATCAAGCAGTGGCGAAGCGTCCTGTCTCGCCTATAGGCCCCTCCAAGAATGTTCTAAGAACCTTAAGTGGTTTCGACGAAATGTTCTTAGAACGTTTCTGGCTGTGAGTCTTTACACATCGGGTTTATGTTCTAAGAAGATTGTTTTCGTAATTAGAACCTGTTTGGGTTCTTAGAACACTTCTTGGTAGGCCTATAGGAATGCCGGGACGGTCGGTCCTTGCTCAAGGACAGGTGCCCATGACCTCCAGAGGTTGCGAAGATACCACGGTTGGCATCTTCTCATGGTGTGTCGCCCCTCGGCGGCGGTGTTCCCGGCCGGGCGCCGAGGGCCATCAGCAGAAAGAGTGCCCGCCGCGAAGGTGTCTGGTCCCGACGGTGGGGACGTCCGTTGAGGAGTGTGCCCAGGAGGCTTCAGATCTTGGAGGAATCTTCATGCGATACGGGCGGCGGTGATTTCCATGGCCGATCCACGACTGGAGTTCCTCTGGCTTCCAGGCCCTGGATTCCTCACACCCATGAGAAGTCTTAGGAAAAAGACATCAGCTTTCATGGACTCCAGATTCCGCTCGAGAAAAGGAAGAGTCTGGACCGGACCCTGGGCGTTTTCTGAGAGCTTTTTTCTTTGTTCGTAGAATGTTCGTAGATCCGGACCTGGACGACTGTTTCACAGAACGCTTGGAGTTGAGTTCCTCTTCCTGGCTTAGAATGCTTTGAAGTCGAAGCAGTAGCGTGTCCAATGGTTCCTTATCAAATGCCCTCACTGTAATTGGGGCAGCGGGCGAGAGCTCCGAGGGGCTGACGCCGCGGAAGAGTCGCGGCGTCGGCGGTCCAGGGAGAAGGGAGGGGGGGGGATGGGATGGGAGGGATAGAAGGAAGGGGAGGAGGGAGGGGGGGGGGGAGGAGGGAGGAGAAACTGAGGGAGGGGGAGGGGGGAGGGAGGAGAGGGGATGGGGAGGTGGAACGGAAGGGAAGAGGGGGGGGAGGGCAGGAGGGCCAGGAGGGAGGGGGGGGGGAGAGGAGGAGGGAGGAGGTGACGAGGAGGAGGGGGCGGAGAGAGGCGCGCTGACACGCCTGAGGATCCTGCGGGCGGGCGATCTGCAGGGGCGACGAGCGGGGTGGCCTTCGGCCCAGGGGGGGGGAGCGGAGACCCGAAAGCCTGCAGAGGCCCTGTCTTCGCCGAGCGGGGCTTGGGTGCTGCACGTTGCCCAGGAGCTCGAAGTTTCCATGTTTGGGGGGGCCCATCGCTGATCTATCGTCGATGTGTACATACCCAATATGGATGAATACCAGGTCCCCAGCCGGGGGGGCCCACCCATCTCGAAACCATCGGGCCCCCTTTGTTCAATACCCCCGCCCTGGCGCCTCCAGGGGGCCTCCAGACGGCCCAGGAGGCGAGGCCTCGAAGACGGCCCCAGGAAGCACCCAAGATGTCCATGACGGCTCCGAGACGCCACAAGATCGGTCCAAGATGCTCAAGATAGCCCCTAGACGGCCCAGGAGGCTTCCAAGACGCCCCAAGAGGCCTCCAAGAGGCCTTTTCAAGAGGGCCACAAGAGGGAAAAAAAGTTGTTTTTCTATTGTTTTTGAGGATTTGTTGTGGTTCTCACCCTTTCGGCTCCCCGACGCTCCAAGATAGCCGAAGAGGCTCCCGAGATCGCCCAAAGACGGCCCAAGAGACTCCCAAGACGGCCCCAAGACAGCCCGAGAGGGACCCAAGCAGCCCAAGAGGCCTCCACGACGGTCCAAGATAGCCCCAAGACGGCTCTAAGAAGGGGCCCAGACAGGGAATCCGAACGGACCTTTCGGGCCTTCGGCCCCAAAAAGCCTTTAGGAGACTCCAAGAAGCGCCCCGGAGGCCCCCAAGACGCCGCCAGAAGCCCCCGAAGGGCTCCCAAGATGCATGTCACAGGTGCACGACAAACAGATCCCACGGGCCATGCTGCTGCTTTTTCCCCATGTGTATATATATATATATATATATACAAGCCTGCAGTGGCGCTTCGCGCCATGCACCTTGGTCCTTGAAGTTTGGCATGCCGGCGAAATAGCAGGAAGGTCAAGCCGACAATTTAGCGATAATTCCTTGTTGCATTTTCCGGCATCGCCGCTATAATAATGTTTTTCGTTATCCTTTCCCCATGTTTCTGTTTCCTTATTTTCGCCATACCCTGCGCTCACTCCCCATCCTCCGCAGCTCTTTTTTGCGGAGGCTCCTCCTTGGAGAGCCTCTGGGGGCCTCACAAAAATTGTTTCAGGCTTTCTTACGGCCTGATGGAGGCCTCCTGGGCGTATTCTGGGGGCCTCCGGGGGCTTCCTCGGGCCACCCTGCCTCCAACCGCGGTCTCCCTGAACGACCGGGTCACGATTCGGAATGCTTCGGAGGGTGTATTTGGGCCATTTTGGGCCGCCATGGGGCTCTCTGAGGGCCATCTTGGACCCGTGTTGTGCCGTTTTGGGGCTCTCTTGGACTGCCTGGAAGCTCTTTCGGATGGTTGTGGGGCGATTTTGGAGCCCCCCAGGCGGCTTCGAACGCCCAGAAGATCGCAGTCTTGGAGCGTCGGGAAGCCGAATAGAGGAGAACCGCAGACTTCACCAAAAACCAATAGATAATCAATGGTTTTTGCCTCGGGGGGCCTTCTTGGGAGTGCTCTTGGAGGGCTCTTTGGGGCCGTCCTGGAGGCCTCTTGGGCCATCTTGAGGTCACGTCGACCACTCTTGGAGCGCTCTTGTGCTGTCTTGGGGGTCTCTGGGACGTCTCCGATGACCGCCCTGATCGCCCTAGGTGTGCTGGGAAGGCTTGGCAAAACGCCCTGCGAGGCCCCGGGGCCGCTTCGAGGCCCGTCTGGAGGTTCCCAAAGCCCCAGATCCCGGGAGTCCGGTTTTGGGGGGGGGGGGACGGGTTTTCCCCCCGCCCGGGCTTGTAAAAATATAGGAAGAGGAATATATATATATATATATATATATAGAGAGAGAGAGAGAGAGAGAGAGATCTCTCTCTTCTCTCTCTCTCTCTCTCTCTCTCTCTCTCTCTCTCTCTCGGAGTAACCCAGGGGGGGGGGGGGCCCAGGCTGGTGCCGTACCTCCCCATGGGTGCATTGGGGGGATCCCAGTGCTCCCAGGACTGCCCGGGCCCGCTCCCAAACACGCCACGACACACCAATTGCCAAGAGCCCCAAGAGGCCCCGGACACGCCGAAGATGGCTTTAGGACGGCCGATGACGCCGCCAAAACGCTCCAAGAGCGCCTCCAGGGCCCCAGAAGCCGAAAATCATAAATTTTCCGTTGGTTTTTTAAGCATTTTTGCGCTCTCGCATGTTCCGCCTCCCCACGGTCCTGGACGGCGTCAGAGGCCCTTCAGATCGCTCCGAGACGGCCGAAGAGGCTCCCAAGAAAGCCCAGAGACGGCCCAGGAGGCTCCCCAGATAATTCAAGAGGGCCTCGAGAGCGCCCCAAGAGAGCCCCAAGAGCGACCCAAGAGAGCCCGAAGAGCGCGACATTTCAAGGTCTCCGGCCTGAGAGGCTCCTAGGACGCCCCCGGAGGCCATCAAGAGGCTCCCAAGAAGCCCCGTGAGGCTCCCAAGAGGTCCCCCGGAAGCCCCGATAGGCCCCCAAGGGGCCCCTAGGGAAGCCCCCTGCGGTCAGGCCCCCAGGAAGCCCCAAGAGGCTTCCAAGAGGCCCCCAGGAGACTCCCAAGGGGCCTCAAGAGGCAACCACGAAGTACCCAAGAGCCCCCCTAGAGCTCTCCAAGAGGCCTCCGAAAAACTTCCACCACCCATATCGGAACAGGCATCCAGCAGGCCACTGGCCCATCACCCAGGCATGGCGGCCTCAGGTCCACAACCCCAGTTACCAAGACGCTCGGTCTTGGAGAGGGATGCTGAGGGCGAGGACGACGACGACGACAAAGGCGACGACGATGATGGCGATGACGATGACGATGGTGATGATGATGACGACGACGACACGACGACCACCACCACGACCACGACGACGACGACGACGACCACGACGACGACGACGACCACGACGACAGCGACGACGATGAAGATGAAGATGAAGATGAAGATGAAGATGATGATGATGATGATGACGATGATGATGATGATGATGATGATGATGATGATGATGATGATGATGATGATGACGATGACGATGACGATGACGATGACGATGATGACGATGATGATGGTGATGCGGGTGACGATAATGACGATGATGACGATTGCGATGATGACGACGGTGATGACGATGGTGTTGCTGATAGTGGTGGTGATGATGATGGTGTTGATGGTGATGGTGATGGTGATGATGACGATGACGATGACGATGAAGATGCTGGCGATGAGGATGGCGACGGTGACGATTACGAGGATCCCAGCTAGAACTTGAGCGCACGCGATGGTTTTAGTATGTATACATCCATAGATATACATGTGTATATATATGTATATATGTGTATATATACATATATATATATATATATATATATATATATATATATCGCACATCGCGGACCCAGCCACGGTCATCGACCCTGGCCCCCCCGTGGAAGCCTCCTCGGCCAGCGGGGAGCCGACTCACAGCCCCGCTCCGCGATTGCGCGATGACGGGGGGGCGGGCCTCTAAGGTGAGAGTGGGGAGGGTGATGGCATGGCGAGAAGGAAGAACACAGGGGCGTAAGGGGGAAGGGGGGGGGGCTAGAAGCAGGGAGAGGAAGGAGAGAGAGAGAGAGAGAGAGGAAAGAAAAAAAAAAAAGAGGAGGAGGAGGATGAAGAAGAATAAGAAACCGGGGCGAGGGCGGCGAGAGCAGGAAGGAGGAAGCAGAAGAGGAGGAAGAATGGGAAGGACAAGAAGCAGAGGGAGGGCGACAGGAGGAAGGGCGATTCACGGAGCGGGTGAATTGCGTGGGGGCACGGAGGAAGTTGGGGGGGAGGGGGGGGGGCAAGGGCTGAGATGGGGGCGGAGTGCGAGGAGAGTGCGTCGAGCAGGCGCAGACGTGGAGTAAGGCGCGGGGATTAGCGACGGGCCCCGTTTCCGTACAGAAGCGGCGCGCTCTGTCGCCAACCAAGACGGTCTTGGCGCCATGTTTCGGGGGTGCCGTCCCCGATCCGTGGATCCGTAATCCATGTTAGCGTGCGCGCGAGGTGGGGGCGGAGTGCGAGGAGAGTGGATGGGGGAGGGGGGGGAGGGGGGTGGACCGAAGGAGCTCGAGCCAGAGTTCAGACCTCACAGCAGCACTATTCCTACTGTCGCCCACATCAGCACGACGACGAGCGGTCATCAGACCGCCAGTAGTGACCAGAAGGCTCCCACATCATGACCGACGCATCTGCGCGGAGAAGAGACGGGGAGCTCAGCGTTGGGGAGGACATGAATCGCTGGGCAAATCTGCGGCCGAGAACTGTTGGTTAGCGTGTCGCTCCGCCAGTGCTGGCCCACCACGCCTCGGCGCGACACGCGAACCACGTCCCGGTCCCCAGGCGTCAACGTCCTGAGAGCTTTTCCCAGCCTTCGACTAGCGGAGGGGAGCGACACGCGATCCGCCTGCAGGGCATAGCGTGTCGCCAGAGCCGCCGCCGCGGCACGCTAAGGAAAAGTTCCTGGCCGTGGGATCGGTGCAGCGAGCAGAAACGACAGGGAGTGGTGTGCAGAACGTGGGCAGAGTGGCAATTGCTTTCTTTCCGCGCCGACGCACAGCCCGTGTGCTGCCCAGTGTTTCACCGCGCCTGTAGGGCTGGGGCCTGCAAACTGCATCGGCCTCTGCGCATTAGCGCCCGCTTCCTGCAAAAGCACCCCCGCGATGCGAACCTCCCAGGGCACACCGAGGGGCAGAGCTCTCGAGCAGGCTGCCCGCAGCCAGATCCTCCTCATTCTCCTACGGTCGGATCCCCTGTTGCGGTCGGACCGAGAAAAACGTTCGCCCTCTTCCTGCGGTAGGACTCGGCAATACGTTCCTCATCGTCTGCTGTCTCCGGCCCCGGTCAGATCGAGCGGTGCTCATCTCTTGCTCTTCGGGCTTCTCGCCGTCGTCATACTCCTGCGGTCGGATGGAGTTCATCACATGTTCATCCTCCTTCTGGTCCTCCTCCTTCATGTTCTCCTCCTCATTCTCCTCCTGCTACTATGACTACGACTACTACTACTACTACTACTACTACTACTACTACTACTACTACTACTACTACTACGACGACTACCACTGATACAACTACTACTACAACAACTACTACGACTACTACTACTACTACTACTACTACTACTACTACTACTACTACTACTACGACGACTACTACTACTACTACGACGACTACTACGACTACTACGACTACTACGACTACTACGACTACTACGACTCCTACTATTACTACTACTACTACTACTACTACTACCACTACTACGACTACTACGACTACTACCACCTACTACTACTACTACTACTACTACTACTACTACTACCACTACTACTACTACTACTACTACTACTACTACTACTGCTGCTACTACTACTACTGCTGCTATTACTACAACTACGATCAGTACTACTACTACGACTACTACTACTACTACTAACTTACTACTACTACTACTACTACTACTACTTACTACTACTACTACTACTACTACGACTACTACTACTACTACTACTACTACTCTACTACTACTACTACTACTACTACTACTACTACTACTACACGACGACTACTACTACTACTACTACGACACAACTATTACTGCTACCACTACGGCTACTACTACTACTACTGCTCCTACTACTACTACTACTACTACTAC